AACCTGGTTCCAAAGGATTCATACTGCTCCTGTCTCTTCTTCTCGGTAGTATTGAGGTTCCCCGCATCTTTACCCTAGATGAATTTTTTTTAAGCCTAGCAGGATGCCAAAATTGGGTAATCCCTATGATAGAGTCCTATGCAATAAAGTCTTTGTATGGTCCCACTAAATAGTGGTTCCATGCATATTATTTTTTTCATGCATATTATTTTTATTATTAGCCAGTTGACCAAGTCCCTTACTGGGCTACAAATGCCTTATTTGCATTTTCACTCAATCATGTTGTGTGAATTACAAGATTATGGTTTAAAAGGCTGTATATAAATGATTAAGCACATCACAATTACATTCAGAGGTGAAAGGATTAGGACTCCAATATATATTTTGAGGGGACAAAATCCATAAAACATAATATTGGTATATTCTAATTGTTTGATGAAAGCATCTTCGTTTTAACTCTGATCCAGACCAAACACCCTGAAAGTCAGATGTGAATACCAAGAAAAATTAGAGGGTTAAAGAACTTAAATAAAATTATTTATTTACTCTGCATTTATTATGTATCATGCACAACTATTTGCCATGTATTTTCTCTGTAGTTTTCTGGGTGGCACATATGGTTTGTGTTTGAGTATCAATTTAAAATTCTTCTAGGTGGTATAGCATTGGTTTGTGTGTTGTTGTACAGAGGTAACTTGTGGTAGCTGTGATGCTAAACACTGGACACTGGTGTGCCAAATGTGGTAATGGTTACCCGTGGTGGACAGTGTTTGCTGGAGCTTCCCGACTACAACAGGCCTGGAAGCAGGAGCGGCATCCACTTCTGAAATGGCTTGACTCCAGAAACTCTATGAACTGTGCTCAGGCTTTTCATTCATAGGGTCGCTATGAGTCCTCTATGACTTCATGGCACCTAACAACAACAACAACATCAATTTAAAAGTTGGAGATTTGAGCTCACTCAATGACATCATAGAGGAAAATATTGACAATATCCTTTTATAGAAGTTGTTTTGTTTTTTTTTTTAAGAGTCCAGAATTAAGCTTGCATAGTGGAGTGTACTCGGGGCAGTGGGAGGAGTGCGGGGGCGGGGGGGATTGTATACCAAAGAAAGAATTTTTCTTTTACTTTTCAAAGAGAGGATCAAACTAGGAGGGGAGGGCTGGGCAAGGAGAAAAGTGCAACAATGAATGAATGGAAATCCAAAATCTCTGCAAATGTTCATTAAAATTAATAAATTTTTTTAAAAAAAGTTGTTAAGGGGCTGTCAAGTTCGTTTCTGATTCATAGTGAATCAGGGCTATGTATAATATAGCCTGTGTATCCCAGAGTGCACTGCTGGTCAAACGATATCTCGTTCTTTCTTTTCTGCTGGTCTTCCCTTTTAACAAACATGATGTATGTCTTTCCCCAAAGACACCATGTCCTAATAATTGTCCAAAGTGCATGAGATGAAATCTCACCATTGGTGTCTGAGAAGCATTCGTTTGTACTTCCTCACTGACAAATTTATATGTTCTTTAGACAGTCTGTTCAATATTCTTTGCCAATGACATGATTTAAAACCGTCAATTCTCCTCCCATGGTTTGGGTCAGGCACATTTTAACCCTCAAAGTAACACCCTAGCTTTTTAACACTTTCAAACCATCTTCTGCAACACAATTGTCCATGGCAAAAGGTCATTTTCTTTCTTGCCTGCTACGTCCATGTAATCTCAGTGAAAATTATAACCAAGAAAACATTTTGGAGCACAGCTGTATTCTAACAGATGGAGTCCTGGTCAGTATGGCCACAGACTTGTTTCATTTCTGCTTTGCTTTTTTATCTTTTCTCTAGAAGCTGGGGCTATAATACCAGACAAGATGAATATAGCCTCTTTTTCATGAAGACTTACATTCTAATGGCAAAGAGGTCAAATCAACAAGTCCATAAATATCTAGATAAACTGAGTGTCTTTCCTTGACCAACCTCATCCAGATCTCCAGAAGGTGAACATTTTTGGCATATGATGCTAGGGATTTTTATTTTCTGAATCCATCTGATTTTGGTTAATGGAACACACCAAAGGATATCAGAAAAAGAGGAAATAGCTTATTTTCCCCCTTAATTCCTATAAGTCACCCCTGGTTGTCTATGTCCCCTGAATGAAGGCTCCATGGATTGGAATATTAAGTTATATAAATTATCATTTTTAACTCTTAGCACTTCCTTAAGGTGTCTCTGAGTGGCACAAACATTAAATGTTTGTCTACTAACTAAAAGGTCAGTGTTCAAATTCACTCAGGGGTGTCTCAGGAGATAAAGGCCTAATGATTGTGGTGTAATGAATTACTTAATTACTCAAGCTATTGGTCTTGTGACTTCCGCACAATGATTGGATGAAAATATGCAAATAAGGTACTTGGGGGCACTAAAGGGATTAAATACTTATTAACAATGCAAGTAGATAGGGCTTGGTGGCTCTCCCCGGTTGAAACAAGCTTGGAAGCAGGAGTGGCATCCACTTCCATAAATGGCTTGCCTCTGGAAACCCTATGAAGCTGGAGAAAGGATGAAAGTTGTACACGCAGGTGTTGAGGACTTTCGTTCACAGAATCACTATGAGCTGTCTACGACTCAATGGAACTTAACAACAACAATGCAAGTAAAGTGTATGCAAGCCCCATGGGAATGAAAGCATACAAATAAAAGATCTGGAACACTGAAGAGGAGACTCTTTTTACTCTCTGTCTAGGATTTACCATCTGTCTAGGCTTAAAAGAGTCAAGTCTAGAGCAGAGGAGGCCCTGACAACCACTTGGAAGAAAAGCTGAGAGAAGTATGTGTCTCTTGGACCCATGACTCCTGTTCTCGGAATGTCTTAGACACAGGCACAAGACAGCTGCAAGATGAGAGATAACTAGATACAGCAGTGGGGAGCGGCAGTGAAGTAATAGTAAGAGAGACAGCAGAAAGAGAACATCACAAGATAGTGTCGTGAGTCTCCCAGCCCACAGAGCAAGATGACTGTGTGACTTTGGTCAAAGAGTTCCTGATGGAGTCGGGTTGCCCTCTTGACTTCAAGGCAAAGCAAAAGAGTTTTGTGACACTTGACCAAGCAGTGCAGAAGCCAGGCAGGCCCAAGAGATCCAATTATCCTGAAGAGGCCAGACAAGGAGGGGTATGCTTGTGGAAATGGCTGAGAAGAAGGTGTCCTGATTTAATAACTGTGTCCTAAGTTACTTCTGATCCTTCACTCCATCTTATTCCTTCCCTAATGAACCTCATGATTATGAATATTGTCTGTAAATTCTGTGGAACCTCAGCAATATGTTTTTAAACCCAGAATATGAGTATTGGCAGCATCAGGATGGATGGTGAAGAGATTGAGATTGTACACAGCTTTAGTTTGCTTGACTCCATAGTCAACAGTCTTGGCACCAGCAGCCAGGAAATTAAAAGGCGCATTGCCATGGGAAAGTCTGCTGTTAGGGACCTCTCCAAAGTACTGAAGAGTAATGGTGTCTCTCTGGAGACTAAGGTGTGTCTGACACAGGCTATGGTCTTCGCAATCACTTGTTATGCATCAGAGAGTTGGACAATGACCAAGGAGGATAGAAGGAGAATTGATGCCTTTGAGCTGTGGTGCTGGAGAATAGTATTGAGAATACCATGGACTGCTAGGAAAACAAACAGATTTGTCCTGGAAAGGGTTAAACCAGGTGGCTCCTTGGAGGCAAGGTTCCGTCTAACATAGTTTGGACATGTTGTGAGGAGGGACAGGTCCTTGGAGAAGGCCATCATGCTTGGGAGGGTGGAGGGACAGCGCAGGAGGGGAAGGCCCTCTATGAGGTGGATTGATTCAGTGACTGGGATAATTGGGATGGGAGTGTCAGAGACAGTGCGATTGGCACAGGACAGAGCGGAGTTTAGGGCTGTTGTGCATAGGGTTGCTATGAGTCGCAAGCGACTCGACGGCACATAACAACAACAAGTAAAGGGGGTCAAGGAAGGGATAACTGGTGTCACAATTAAGCTTTGAGAGAGGAGGTATGATTGATCTGTGCTTCACAACAATCTGACTTGGTCTATGTTGGTGGTACTTATCTTTTCTCTTAATAGAGTCAGACATGGTCAGATGGCTCTGCCACACCATTTCACAGCTGACATTAGAAGAACAGTTCACTGCAATGGCTTGATTACATGGAATCGCGATAATTCGTAATAGAAGAAGGAAGGGGCATGAAAAGTAAAACTTCTGATATTTGTGTCATTATTTTAGATATTCTTATCTGTACTAATAGAAAGGGAAGATGAGATGTCATGTTGAGGCAGCTGATAGGGAAATGAAGGATAGAAAAGTCTATTCTGGAGTAGCTTAGGGCAAAACCCAGACCTGATCAAAAAGATGTTGTACAGAGGACCCAGGTCTACAGGTTCTACCCGGCCAAGGCCCTAAGACCACATGGATACAACTGAGAACATAGTCTAGGTGTGGGGAAAAGAAAAAGCTGGGTTGTTTTTAAAAATATTGTGATTATCTGAACGTTGTTGTTACGTGCCGTCAAGTTGCCTGTAACTCATAGCTCTGAAACCTGCCCTATCCTGAGCCCGTCTCATCATCTCTGACAGACTTAATCTTATTTTTCCAGTCATTGAGGCAATCCACCTCATCTGGGGTCTTCCTCTCCTGCACTGTCTCTCCAGCCTTCCAAACATGATGTCCTTCTCCAAGAACTGATCCCTTCTAGCCACGTGCCCAAAGTATGTGAGACGGTGCCTCAGAATCCATGCCTGTAAATATTTAATGTTTCTCCTACCTGTTGTTGTTAGTCTCCATCGAGTTGATTCTGAACTTAGTTTTCCTCATAATCTCTTATGCTCAAACTCATCATTATAATCCAATAGATGCCATGAAGATCTTTCTCTCCTTTGCTGACCCGCTGTTTTCCAAACTTGATGTCTCCTTTCAAAGACTGGACCCGCCTGGAAACATCTGAAATATATTAGAAGTCTCACCATCCATGCCTGTATGGGGCATCGTGATTATACTTCTACTTTTTTTCTTTTTAACCCCAACCCTAAGCCAAACCCAAACCATAACCGTAGCCCTAACCTTAACCCAAACCCTAACCCAAACCCAAAAGCTAACCCAAAACCAAACCCAAA